TAGCTTTAATGAAGAGAAAAGTTCACTAGGGTTACCTTAAGTGCGCTGAAGAGTTGGGATGATAAGATGTATGTGTAAATGTGTATTGACTTGGGCTCCATGCTGTTTAAACAGTAGTTAGGTATGTGGGGAGCATCATTTGCAATCATTCATGGTGCTTAAGACTTTTTCTCTGATTCCTTAAACCTGCAGTTATATCAACAGGCATACATCTGGATCTTTGGTCTAGTTATCACTGGAATAATTATATCCAATGTTTAAGGATGACCAATATGTGGAACTGCTAAGGGGAAGGGGTTTTTTTGTTTTTGGTTAGCGGGCAGTATTTTGATTAAAATGCAATGGCAGTTTTAAGAGTTATGAATGAAATTGTGCCACTGGGGAGGGGGGACTATGTGCAAGAGGACACATATTTGAAGGAATTTCTTTAGCACATTTTAAAATATCAGTTTAATCTAGAAGATGGTGTGTCTTTATATTGTTAGTGATTGCTGCAAAGAATTAACAAAACAGCGCCTTAAGATATTCCCAGGATGGACATGACCTGAAATAGTGTCATTCATTCATATGGCAGGCTGTCAGGTGGAACAGCGAAATGTTGCATTTGCCGCACCACAGTATGGATGCTGTTCTGTATAGAACTGATGAATTCAGATCAGATGATGGAGGAGTATTGGTCATGTGCTTACTAGATGAAGCTTACTCTTGGGAAATAATATCTTCTAAAGGGGGAATGACATAAACTATCTGACTGAGCTCAGGGTTTTTGTTCTAGTGGGAAAAGACCCGACAGTCATGCATTCTGGCCTTTCGTCCAAGTCAGATTCTTCATTTCTTAATTATCCCCTCTGATGCCAGCTTTGTATTTTTCCTTGAAACCTACAAGAGGATAGATTTCACAATCTTCTTGAACAGTTTAAGCTCTTTTTTTTTTTGACAATAATTAAACTTAACCTTGCCCCCTTTAAAAAAAAAATTATAAACTTGCCACTGTTTTTTCTATCACTATCAGTTTTTTGTTGCCTGCCCCATTCCAAGCAACATTTCATCTGCCTCCTTTAATTGGTTAACCAATTTGTTTCCAATGAGAAATTCACTGCTGTCTTTTCTTCCTTATTCTCTGATATGAATTCAGTTAAAATGCTAATCTCTCCTTTGATATCTGTGTAATGTCACTTCTGCTTCATTATTTAACTTGCTCATTTTAAAAAAGTAACGAACTAGCCAACATAGATTAGACAGACTTTTCATTGCCATGGTTTGGTGGCAATACAAACTGAAATAAAGTAGGATACACGTTAATTTTTGTTAGGTTTCACATTTCTCTGATTAATTCTTCCTGCAGTAGAAAAGGGCTGTGAATTAGACTAACTTCTACTGTATTTTGGAGAATCCTGGTTTTTGAAGGTGGCTGTCTCCCACACATTAAAAATGGAGGAATGATCAGCAGAACTAGAAGGCGCTATAGCAGAGGTTGCAAATCCATTGGCAGTTATATGGGACAATTGTTTTTTGAAGATTGCAGGGCTGCTTTGAGCATCCCTCTGCTCTTTTTGTCACTTTTTGAGTTTGTTTCCAAACAACTAAAGTCCTTTTCCCCTTTCTAGTAGCTTCAGTTCTGTTAAGCAGGGAAGTTTTTTGTTTTTTTTTAAAAAGGAGGGACATGTTATGAACCATTGCTATCTTTTGCCCCTTCTTCTTGCGATAGGATGTCTTATTGTCCCACAAAAAGTTGTAAACTGAATTGACTGTACATAAGCTGTTAGATAAGTCAGCTTTCTCTATTAAAATGCCTTTTGTTTTTAGGGAATTTAGCTTATATATCAAGTTCCTCTTCCAGGTTTTGATTGCTAATTCTGCTATGATGCTAATAGGCGAACAGCTAACAATCCATTAGAGGACTTATCATATTTGGGATGATACAGAATCCATATAACCACTGGTATTGTGTTTTAACTCATATTTTCTGTATGAAATCTAAAAAAAATAACTACAGTACTGGAAGAAGTTTTGAAAGCTAGCACAATAGCTGATTAATCTAGACTTCAGGGAATCAAAAATAAGATGTATGTGTTTTTTTTTAAAGGGTTTCTAAGGATTTCTAAATGTTTTGTAAATCTGAGCACAATTGTGCTTGTTAGTAGTTACAAAGCACCCCCCCCCTTTTTTTTTTTGCAATTTAGTCAGATGTAATTCAAAATCTCATTTCAGGCTTAAAAAACTGATATTGTTTCTACTGAAGGTATCAAACTGAGTTTCCCTCAGAGTTGCTCTCCAGCAGAGAGAGAGGCTGAATAAAACATGGAGATCTAGAAACCGGAAGTTGGGAGGGAGGGAACAAAATGAATGTATTCTAGCAAGCTTGCTATTTCCCTTCTTTCTTTCCCATCCCTCAAGCCTAACAACAAATGTTATGTGAAGGGTTGGGGACAGATGAGAAATGTTGTAGGTTGATTTTCTTTTTAAATTAATTTGTTCTGAGTTACTATTGGTCCTGTCAAAGAGCTACTACATCCAACTTCAGTGGGAGTTCCCAGTTTAGCCAGAAACTTGGTTGGGGTAAAAGATGGGTTGGATTGCTGATTGTTCAGGAAGCTTGAAATTGTATACTTCCTCATGAGATGGGCAGTGTCCAAATTTGAAATAAATATACTTCTTTTAAGTGTATATTAAATGCTGCGTTTCTGTGATGTCACATTTACAATATTGGATCAGTATATCAGGGCAGTATTATAAATAAACTCAGTAATTCTCTCAATGAAGCTAATAACTAGTATTTTGAGGCTGGTAATGGAAAAGTGGGGTTTTCCTTCCAGATCAGTGGGGAAATACAGAATACTAAAGTGTTTCTAAAAAGTCTTAAGCCAGATTGGCTAGTGTAGGAAGGATTGAGCTGGCAGATAGATGAGCTTAGAAATCAGTTGTGCTGATGTAAGAGGGATAGAGACCCACTCTTTCTCCATCGATCCATTTACTTACCTTGGTAACTATAGCTTACACATGAGGTTGTACCTTTAGCCATGAAATTAATGAGCAGTTTCAATTTAAGACTTAGAAATAGGTAAGTAGCTTTGTGAATGCTCAGGAATTCTTTTCACTTTATGATCTTTTATTACAGGCACCGGTTAGATAATTTCTCACAGGAAGAGGAGAAAAATAAGAGGCTTGAAATACTGGGGAGTAGGCTGTGTAGTCCTCAGCCTGTTAGGATTCTGTGATGTTGGGCTAATTGTTCAACACGTTCTTCCACTATCTTGCCAGGAAATTGGGAAAGCACACTTTGAATGTAATATCTAGGTGTGTCCACTGTGGGAAAATCTTCCATGATATCTTATGAAGGAGCAGCAATCTGAAAACATTCTTAAACGAGTGAATGTGTTACTGCTGTTGCTGATTTGATGACAAATCGTGAAAATTATATGAATTTCAAAATATCGGTTCTTGAAGTCTCCAGGGTCCCTCTGTGCAGTTAGAAAGTATATTATATGTGTGTGTGGTGTGTAAGGGAAAGAGATAAATTCTTGTAAGAACTTGGAGGCACATTCACATCCTGGGTGAAGGTGTGGATCCTTGACTCTAGTCAGTAAGAATCCTGTAAGCAGTCCTTTTTATTCCATAGTGGAAGAAAATAAGGCTTTATTAGTGCTTTAAAGGGGAAAAATAAAACTGCTTTTAATATTGAATCTCTGCATCATCATTGAAAGCCAAACCATATTTGTAGTTGGTCTATGCAAACATTAACAAATGTACACATATAAAGAGGTCTCGCCCAGTACCTGAATAGGGCTTATGTAAGTGATTATTAAGGCTGGCATTTATTTCATATCTAAGGAGCTATACAATTTTGTTAGAATAGGACTAAGAGAATTCTTGAAGATGCATTCTCTTAACCAACTCTTCAACAAGCTGTCTTGGTAAGGCTTCATTGCTAAAAAAACCCGATATAAGGTGACTTACATGGTCATTTAAATGATATATTTTTGACAAATCCCTTTTGTTTTAGTGCCATATGATTTGAAATATGTACAGTATGCTTATTATATGCTTATCCGTGGCCTAAGGTTGCAACTATGGCAGTGAATCTGTGCTGGGTTTATATAAACAGTTATCACAGAAGATTTCTTGGCAGTTTAATTTTAAAAGTTTTGGATGGGTGTTACTGCTCATTATGAAATAATGCCTGGGGTCCTTGTTTGCATGTCTGAAAACTGACCGTGCAAATAATACGGTGATGAAACGTATCCACTCTTGCTTCATAGTTAGTCAGATCCCAATGATTTTGCTTTAGCTTTCTTTTGCTAAAAGAATTCTACTTTTTTTTTTAGATGTTTTTAGATTTTTTAGCAGAAAATTATTTGTTCTATGAGCAGCAGTAAAGGAGTGCTAGAAATACTGATTGGAGTTTGTTTCCTTGAAAATGAACAGAGCAATTTTGTCTCAGTGCATCTTTGGTTTATCCTGACACAGATTGCAGAATGCACATACCATCATTCACAGAGTTATTTTATGGGTGGAAATTTTGAAAGATTTAAGAAAAGGCACATTCTGAGCTGATTGTACATTCACATCTATGTTGATCAGGTCTATTCAAGAATGTTGGGGAAAACAACTGGCTTTAAAAAAACATTTCTTTCTCTCCTAAATCATCAGGTCTTCTCTAAGCAGTTCATGTTAGACTTGATGGTCATAAGTTTTCTATGAGGATGGAAGTTGTTCCAGGGAGTGGCATAGCAGGCAGAAACATCTTTCAGGGTTTCAGAAGTGAAAACAGGATTTAAATCCCAACTCTGCAAACCCTTTAGAAAGCCATTTGTCTCCAGTTTAGTTTGCAACTCTAGTATTTCATTCTTCTAAATAGTCAAAGTTATATCCTAGTAAATGTATAAGGAGTCAGTTTACTTTAGGGTTTTGTGGCTATTTTATCTTAATGATGGGCTATGACTTGTGAACAAAACTGGTAATTTGAGAGTTGATAGCACTGGATCAAAGGATAATAACGTTAAGCTGTATCTCTTTTCTGTTCTAGTGCCACAATGGCAACTGCACCTTACAACTATTCCTACATCTTTAAATACATCATTATTGGTAAGTCTAAATATCCTTAACTTTTACGGATACCTCATTATTTCTGCTAAAGCGGTCTTCCAGACGTTTTTAACTTCAGGTGGTTTGGAATAATAGGAATTGTGGGAAGACTGTGTTGGAGGGGTCCAATCTACGAATTGCAAGTAAAATGTTAAGAATGTATTTTCTGTGTCTGTTGAAACATCCCTTGGATGCAAGGCTCAGTGGAAAAGTGGCATGCAAATTCACAGGACACGGGTGGTGTGGTAACTGTGGCTCTTTCAGTTCAGTCTGAGGGTTTGGCCCCATTCATCAAGCAGGCCTGGTTGTTTTTAATGCTTAGATTGCTGCACTCTTTATCTGCAGAAGCCTAGTCTTCTGTTGCACAAGTAACCCTGCAGATAGGTTTCTTCAGTTTGGCAGCGCTTTGGACTTCAAAGCCAGACACTGAGATAGAATGATTTGTCCTCGGTCACTTCCTTCAGTTGCTACTGTTGCACTGACGTTTGATCCCCATTTTATGTCCAGTATTTGGCAACGCTTGTACATCGGCTACACTGGGTAGTAATATGATATAAGCCAAGGAGAGCTGTGGAATATTCTCTTATTGGAATTAAGAGAATTATTAACGATTACACAAACGTTATGTAATCTTGGAATGTGATTTTAGGCTCTGTTGACATCCAGCTTCAAAAGAGAATACAGGCCCTGTGATCTGGGGTCTTTTGTAGCCTAAAGATGGGATATGTTCACACACAGTATGATCAGACATGAGGTGACTCGTTTGGTTTTAGTGGGTATATAAACCATGTTTAATGTTTAGCATGTTGTATAAACACAGATTAGGTTCCAGAGCTGGAAATACAGATAGAGTATGCATGTTACTCATCTGTGCTCTTTAGAGGAAATGCTTTTTTCTCCTTACTTTCAGTTACAAATTCTGTAGTAGGAATACCAGAACAGATGGTTGAAAAAGTTTCCAGAGCAGTTTCCAGTATGATTATATACTAGTTTTTCTTTTCTTTTCTTCCCCTTCTTAAAAAAGCTTGCTTGGCACTTTTATTAAGGAGGAATGCTGATTGTGGATTATTACACAGTCTGTGTGGGAAATGGTTCCATATTATTTCCACAGTTGATTTCTGTGATAGATATTAAATCAAGGTAGCAATGGTAACAATTCATTTCTAAAACAATCTCTTCTCTCTTTTTTTTCATTTTAAGGAGATATGGGTGTAGGAAAATCCTGCTTGCTCCACCAATTTACAGAAAAGAAGTGTAAGTGTGCATATCTATTTCTAATTGAAGTAGTAACCCCAACATGTCTTTGTCCTCTCCACTTTCCCAGCATGTTAATTTTAGGCTTCTTTTATATTACTAAAACTGCCTTATGGAATGGGAACAGTTCTGGATTTCACTGAGGCAAAATGCCTCCAATTATATAAAACGTGATCGTATTGATTTAATATTGTGGATTTTTGTTCATATATAGACTGGCAACCAAAGATTTATACTTCTGCTGATCGCTAGAGCTGGCGAGGTCTTGAAAGAACACTTGCCTGTTTTTCACTCCTGTGAGAAACATGCAGTAGAACAAGTCAAAAATTAATAGTGCTCTGTAAGGGAAAAAAACCCTGATAACTGCTGATTTGGAAGTAGAGCCTTTTGGTAGAGTTTTGGCTGCCTTTCTTTTGGGATAAATGCCACGACAGCTGAGAAGGTGGGTTAAGATAGTCTTCAGAAATGATGGGTCTGCTCCATGTTAGTGGGAATCGCTGTGGATGGACGTATTGAATTCGGTGGATCCTGCTTTCTCACTATTTTATTTTATTATTTTATTTTTGCTCACAGTTATGGCAGATTGTCCCCATACAATTGGTGTTGAGTTTGGTACCAGAATAATTGAAGTTAGTGGCCAGAAAATTAAGCTGCAGATCTGGGACACGGCAGGACAAGAGAGATTCAGAGCGGTCACACGGAGCTACTACAGAGGAGCAGCAGGCGCCCTTATGGTCTATGATATCACTAGGTAAGGTGTCTTTCTGGGCTAGAGAGTCCCTTTGCCATTGTTTGAACCCAGCATTACCTGTCTTTTAACCGGCTGTGGCTCTTTAGCTGACCCTACCCACTGGAACAAAGCAGGAGTCGACCTGTTGTATCAAACCGCCTCTAGCCAGATAATAGTGATTTCCTGACACTCCCAGATAGATGTGAAAGAAGCCCCTGCATTCAGCCACACAATTTTGATAGATGTGGTAGGAAAAGGTACGGGGAGAGAAGAAGACCACAAGTACCGAAGCTTCCTTTCTTGGGCCAGGTGGGGGGAGAGGCTGGACTTTCTCCGGCTGTGATCTTTGTAGAGACAGAAAAACGAGCTGGTGTTCTGTAAACGTCTTGATCTTTCTCTTGCAGAAGAAGTACATACAACCATTTAAGCAGCTGGCTGACAGATGCAAGGAATCTGACTAATCCAAATACTGTGAGTTACACAATTTAGGAACCGTTGCATTAAATTTGGGCTGCTCGACAATGAGTGCCTGCCGATCTCCAGGTTCGTTTTTTCTTTCCGCATTTAACGGACCTCTGTTCAAGCTGCCTTTTTGGGATACTGGTAGTGTGAAATTTAGAAACCAGAAGAGGCCGGCTGTTGAAAACAAAAGACCGCCTTGAATGTGTCAGCTACATTTAAAATGAGCCATCTCGAAATTAGCTTTGGATTTATCTCTTCACTCCAGACCTTTATTTGCCTTTTTCTGGTTAAATTGACCAAAATGAAAAAAAAACCCAAAAGTTGAAGCAAGAAATCCAAACCTGGAGCCAGGATGCTGAGTAGATACTTGGTCTTTGCTGTGGCTTTCTAAAGCATCTGAATTGCTAAGCTCTGATTCAAAAATTAAAAACTATGGTGTGCATACAGGAAGCCTTTCAACCTGAATAGTGAGCGACTCTGGGAAGGAGCGAGAAAAAAAAGAGTGGCCAAAGAGCTGGGGTGAAAAGCTGTCCCTTGGTGAGGTGACTTTATCTTCTGTCCTACCCCTGATTGGGAAAAGAAAAGGCTTCATTGGAGGACACCACTCTTGGAAGTCTCTATGGGAAACTTACCATTCTGCAGGTTGGGAGGTGGTGGATAAGAGAACCGAGTATTTTCAACTGCCTCTTCCTCTCTGTCTCTGGAAGCCACCAGGTGGTGGAACAGCTGAACAGAGTTGGTTGTGACCAAAATGTGTTTAAGGGAGACAGTTTTGAAAATGAACGCTTTTCCCAACCCTGCATTCCAAGGGGGGCTCCTTCCCTTTTGCATAGCACGCGCCATGGTTAGAAGGCGTCTCTCCCCAACTTGATGTGGCTGCTGCAGCAGTAATTCTAACTAGCTAGGCTCCTTCCTTCCTCTTTTAGCATGTCTGCCTTAATTTCATAATGAGCAGTTCCTTAAAACTGCTTCCTTACAATAATGAGAAGCCAAAGTGTCAGTTAATTAAAACATTCATCCTTTAGCCTTCTGAGTTGCCCTTCTAGCAATGCCTGATTCCAGTTTCCCTAATTTTTAGCCTCTTGAAGAGAGGAATGTGGTTTATTAGCTCTGATCATGCATGCTCAGCTGAAGGATCTGACAGGATCCTTTGGCACAGAAATGCTGCTCTTGACTGGCTCTGTTTCTCCGGCTGTCGTCAACTGCTTGACTTCGGTTCTGTATTTTGTATCTTGTTCTGGATACAGGTGATCATCCTTATAGGAAATAAAGCAGATCTGGAAGCCCAGAGGGATGTGACATATGAAGAAGCCAAACAGTTTGCTGAAGAGAATGGTGCGTATGGATGCTCCAGAGCAGCCCAAACAGAACGGAGTGTGGGTAGCACTCGGCAGAAAGATTGTGCAGAAGCTGCTTAGAGCAGTGCAGATTTAGGCCCTCCAGGTGGCAGTAATCTGGTGATGTCCTCATAGATCTGGCTGTTCAAACTGTCTGTGACCTCCTTACCTTGGAGATTAGACTCTTTGGGACTTGCCGGGTGGCGAGGTCTGAAAGAGGGGTATTTAGATTTCCGGCCAATGCTAAACTTGCATTTTGTTCCCCAACAGGCTTGCTGTTTCTTGAAGCGAGTGCAAAAACGTAAGTAGGCTGCTCCACGTTTAAAAAAAAAAAAAAAAATGGCTTCCACGGATGAATTCATCATTTACCTGGCAAAGCAAGTGGTGTTAGTGTAATTCCTTGATTGTAGCAAGGGGAAAAAAGCCCCATGGTTCCTTTAATCCACCCTAAATCCAGTGGGTGGATTTATCTGTCGTAAAAGTTCTAACTTAATGCTTCTGCTTTCCCCAGAGGTGAGAACGTTGAAGATGCATTCCTAGAGGCTGCCAAGAAAATCTACCAGAACATCCAAGACGGGAGCCTGGATCTGAACGCGGCAGAGTCAGGGGTACAGCACAAGCCTTCAGCTCCACAGGGTGGCCGGCTAACCAGTGAACCCCAGCCCCAAAGAGAAGGCTGTGGCTGCTAGTGACCTCAGTTCCTTGGCTCTGTTTGTGACCTTTCACCTCTGTTAAAAGCAGTGCTTTTGGCTGCTTCAGTTTCCTCTGCACATCTTACCAGGTTTAATTAAAACTCCTGAGGCAAGAGTTTAACACAGTACTAAACTGCTAAAGATAAATAAGAGAAACTTAGATGTAATCAGGTTATCAAAGGCAAGTAGAGTCATACCTGTCCCTGCATGGTAAATCTAGACGTCTTTATTCCCCCCTCCCCCTTTCATGATTGATTGTCCTTGTGAATAGATGTCACCAATTCATGATTTACAAAACAGAGCTCTGATGCTGGACCTCATGACTTTCTCTCTCTCTCTCTCTCCCTCTCTCTCTAGAGCTTTGTCTCTTGTAAGGTTTAACTTCGTTAGCTTCAGCTTTTCCTCCCAATCTGTCACTGGTCTATCCTTTTTAGTAACAAAAAAAGAAAGGAGAAAAAAAAAGATTTGCTATGAAGCTGTTTCCAAGGGTAGAGCAGGATCCTGCATAGAATTGCTTTTGTGGGAAGGATTCCCGGTGGTGGTGGTGGTGGCTGGCAGGTGCGGGGGGAGGAGAAGAGAAAGACACTTACTGCTCTGGTGTATGTCCCCTCCATCTCAGCCTAGTACATGGCAAGACTTTATCTTGTACCCCATATCTTTACGCTGCTGCTTCTCCTTATTTTTACCTTTATGGGCCCTTATTAACAAAACGTAAATATGTATAAATTTTGAAGGAACCAAGCTATACACTCAAATACATCCTGTGTGTATGATTTTAATGAAGAAAAACCACCTTGATTACTGGCATTGAGAAATTAAAGGTAACGTATCTGTACAGCTCAACTAAGAATGGCCGTGTCACCCTGCTTAGCCACTGCAGTTCGTTGGCCGCTGACTTAACTCCATGACGTTCGGCATTTGGCGGTTGCACAGAGGACGCTGGTTCTTAAAGCGATGCGCAAGGGCATCGCTATCCCAGCGTAAGACTTATCTGCGCCCTGTGAGCAACCTATTACTATTTTTGCTGTTACTCCAGGTCTTGTGTACTTGATGATGTGCTAACTGGCTTTCCCTCTCCTTTTTGGTCAAAGTTCTGCATTTAATCCAGCTCCATTTCCTGCCTTGTTGTAGAAGAAGGCAGGGCTGTATTGCACATCTTAATGCTTCTTGGAAGGGGTTGTTCCAAACTGGATGGTCACAAGCATTACTCTTTAGGGACTCTGAACTCTCCTGTAGCATTTGACACTACAGTTCAACTGGCTTGTCTTCTGTCCTCCTCCCAAGTTCTTCCTCTCTGCTGTGATTACAAGCCTCTCTCCCTGAAAGAGAGTTGACTCAGAGGGGTGGCGTATAGGATACAGAGTTGTCTTTCTACTTAAGTTGGAGTCACGCATAAACTATCTCAACTCTGAACTGTTCTCTCTCTGGCAGTCTGGCCCTTTTTTAAAAAAAACGGGGGTAACATGGTTAAGCATGACTGGGGAAAGATGAGTGTGTTTGATTCTATTGACCGCAGTGTTTCAATTACAATGTCTAGAGACATCCCCTTGATGACACTAAACAAAACCATGTTCCAGTGTGCGAAAGCGAAGGGGGATAACCAGCATAATGTACAGTCAACGTTCAATAAAAGCCAAAACTGGGATGTGCAAATGATTAGCATTTGGGTAGCTTGTGCACTGTCCCTTGCTATGTGCCCTTTTGGTTTGCTCTAGTTAGTTTTCTTTTCCCCTTCCTGAAATCTGAGATTCTTAAAGTAGATGGGTATTACAGAATTTGCTGTTTGAATTGCACCGTGGGGGCGGGAGCAGGGGGGGTTGCCCAGGGACCATGACCTATTGACAGAGTTTAAGTTTTGGGCAAAGGCAATCGCTTCCTGCAGCTTGTTGGCGGTGCAATACCCCCTTCTGATCCCCCATATTCAAGTACAGTCTTCGTTTCTGTGACAGGACGTATTTGGGCTGCTGTACCCATTTAATGTAACAATGCTACTATCTAAATATTTGTAAATAAAGTACCTGTATCTAGACAAAACGACGGTAGTAATTCTTTGGAGATGCAGAATAAAAGGGTTGTGAATTGCAGGTCACCTGAAATGAATGCCTTTTTTTTTTTTAAGGGGGAAAAAACCCTCAAACCTTCAGCTTCAAAGATTGGACTTGAGTTCTACTGTTGTGTGTCATGTTATAAGGATTTAGACTTCTGTATTACTGAGAGGAAATCTACAGGAGTGTGTCTTACCTTCAGAATTAGCTCTGATTTCATTCATCAGCTCGTTTTAATTAACGAAAAGTCACAATATGGTTGAGGGTAAAGGTAAGCCTTGTTTCTTTGTGGTTAAATATCCATGATGTTTATGATATACTAGATTCCCCCTGTTGAAGGGGAATTGCTTCTGTCCTACAGAGAAGTGATGGGTACCCTGACATAATCAACGGTTGGTGCTCATAAACAGCTATCACATACCTAATGTTCTACACTGTCTTAATAAATTCTGTGTTGCCTGAATAAATTAAGAAGGGAACACAGATTTTGAGTCATTAAAACTGGTATGCTGGTGTAATCCTCCAGTGTAATGGATATCAAACACGAATAGGCGAAAGTTTAACCATTTTGTTAAAAAAAAAAATTTATTCACAAAATATTTTATCCAATAAAAAGCAATTTTACTAAACAATGTAGGAAATGTAAAAGAGCAAAAGACACACACATCTTCTTACATCCTCTCCAGTCAAAAGGGATACAAAGACATGGATGTTGTCTTCAGTGTTGCAGAATTCTGCTATATAAATGGGGAAAACCTTAGAGCAGGTGAGGTGACTCGAAGACCATTAACTTGTAAGTAAATGAGGTAGTCTTCATAATCTTCAAATCCAGGTCATTGGCACAGGCTTCACCAACACCATCTGTGCATAGTATTTTCTGTAAGAACAAAAAGTGATTTATGCCCCCAGTGGCAAGTTGCATGTATCAACAAACCCCCGCACCCATTCCCTTGACCTGGTAATTCCTCCTCGTGACAACTACAGGGTATTTGTTTTAAGGAAGCAGCATTTTGCCTGGAACAGACCACTAGCTTGCTTCAGGCTCTGAATAATCTGCAGCAGTTTTGGACCTGGCTACTGCAACTGTCCAGTGCCACGTTGGATTTTTAAGATTTTCTCCTGACCAGAGTAGAAAACCCTTGTCATGCTACTAAGAAGGAATATATGTAAACTCTGGCTTAAGTCTTCTAATTGGTCAATGTTTAGAACAACTCATAGCCCGGTGGGTCTTCCATTTCTTACCTGCTTTTTGAAGCTACGCCTTGTACTGATAAATCACTTGAGATTGTGCTGAAATATCTGTTGTCCAGGAAGAAGGGGATCTGGCGGACTAAAAAAAGCAAAACCTCAGCTAAACTCTTACTATAGTGCATCTGTATGATTTTTGATTTTATAAAAGTCACAAGGAAGATGAAGTGCTTTTTAGGTAGAAAACACTTTACATTGATTTAAATATTTTCTTACATCTTCACATACACGCTTTTCTGCAAGGTATGTTGAGCTAGCTTTCCAAAATGAATATACTTGCTGCTTATAGTGTAACCCCCTCCATCCGTTCTGGGAAAGAAGGGTTTTAATCTTCCCACGTTGGTACCCTGCAAATCCCCAGTGTATAAAATAACACTGGTTTCTGATATTTTAAAGTTATTCTCGAATAATTGTGATGTAATTTTAATACTGCTCTGTGCCAAAATTAACAAATTACACTTAGCTGTTTTTCAGATTGAAGACAATATAGGGATACCTTATTGAGAAAGGACAGTCACTTTGGAATCACAGTCTCATGGGGTAAATTTTCCATATGTGCTACTTTAAGTCACTCAAGGGTCATCTGATGTAAATGCTAGTAAGAAATCCATGTTGTTGGGCAAACATACCTGGTTCTTTGCGAGATCTGACTCTTCATGCACAGAATCTGTGAATCCTGAGGAGTTTAACGATGGAAACAGGGAATCGGTAGAAGTACTGCTAACCAGCTCACCCAAGGCATCGACTTGCCTCTTCAGGCTATGGAGGGTGCCCTCAGTCTGTTGCTTCCCTTTAATTAACACCTCCGCTTGCTTTGACATGCATTGTCGAAGCTGGGCCTGAATGCAGAAGTTCAAGTTAATTATCGGCTAGGAAGATTTGGACTGCTCAGGACAGAGGACCAGCAAGCAGGGCCTCTGCTGCTCACTCTGGGTTAATCCAGAATCGACGTTCTAAATTTAAAGCAAGGGCTTCATTCTCAAAAGATTACCAGTACTCCAATATGTGGAACAGCTCAGAGCAGGTTCAAATTGAGAGCTGTGGTGGATCCCAATTAGTTCCATGTTTATGGGGCAGACTTAACTTCTAGTGCCTTTATATCCTACCCAGTTGACTACTGTCCTTAAGACAGAGATTGAAAATATTTGGCCTTTCCTTTCTAATCCCCATCCTAAGCAAAGGTTTGAAAGCTGGTAGCTGTACAGGTGAGTCATCGCTACCTTGAGACGATCTTCATGGTGCTGCAGTCGTTCCCGCTGTGCTTTTCCACGCCACTGTTCATCCTTGAAAGAGAAAAAAAGAATTTGTGAGGGAGGAGTTCTTCCTCCAGGTGGACATTCATGCTATGTACAGAACAGGGATGGTATCCCATGGGGCCCACTGTTCTGCCTGGTACAACTGCTGCTTAGCATATTTACCGTGATGTGGACTTTAGACAAGTCCAGTTTTTCATCCAAGGACAGCATCCTGGTCTTGTTTTCGGTGAACGGATAGTTTTCCTTCAGGCCTTCCACGTCGCCCCAAGGTCTTGCCTTCGCTTCCAGTTCAGCTTCCCTACTCTCCAATAACTCTGGAGGAGACTGGCTCAGATCCTTCAAACCGTTCCTCATTTTGTCTTTCACTTCCAGCCTAATCAGCTTAACCGTACCTTTCAGCTCTTTCTGCCGTTTCTCCAGCGCCTCCTGATTCTTCATCTAAGCCGTAAGACACAAGAAGCAAAAAGAATGGTCATTCACCACGGGTGTCACAGCATCAAGGATGCTGCATCTCTATGGTCCTGGGTGGACTCTCAGCACCCAAGTGCCAAAAGCCTTGCAGGTGAGTTTATCCAACCAATGCAACTAGCCTGAGATGAACAGCTGAAACAGCTACTAGGAATGCTTCCTTTTAAATTGTCATTACTAATTTATAAATTGGAAGGACAACCCCCAGAGCCCTGACAGGCTTTTCCTCTGCTTTGTTCAAAGATCTCAGAGCCTGTGATATATCTGTGAGCAGACAATGCCATACATGAATTCTAGGCTGTGGGAAGAAGTCCTTTATTTTGTCCAGAACTTGCTGTCAAACAGCTTCACAGGGTGATCCACCAGCATTACCTTGCTCCCTGCTTTTTCTGTGATGCTTCACAAATGGATGGGGAAGTTCATTCTCCCAGCAAGCATGCCAAGGAGGGATAAGCATCTTTCTGGGCAATGGGGAGGCTGTTTGTAGAATCCAGATTGTTACCTGTGATTTGAGCTGCATGTGCTCCTCTTGGATCTGGCCAAGATCCCTCATCAGCCGCTTGGCTCGCTGGTGATTCTCTTGGGCCACTTGTCCCAACAAGGCTATTTCTCGCTGCAAGCTGTAGTTTTCTTGTTTTTGTTCCTAAAATTAAAGCAACTGGTTGAAGAAGCTGAATATTTTTTCATCTCCCTTCGAATTAAAAAATACATTCGGGGGGGGGGAATACTCCATTGTGAACTTAATGGTTTAGAGCTAGACATCTCTCCCCCCCAGATGGCCATACCAGTGGGGGCTGATTGGAATTGGTCCAAAACACTGGAGGATACTAGTGTGCCTGGCCCTGCTTCAGATAATCCCATGTTGATGGGTTCCAATGGCTCCATGTTATGAGTCATGAGAGAAGGCTGATTTGTAAAACCAAAAATGACCAGCTGAGGTCCTACCACTGCCATGGCTTCGTTAGGTGGTCTTGAATGAACCATCCTTTCACCTGTAGCCTCCCCAACATAACTGATGCTCCTTACAGAGTTCTGAATAAGAATATCTAAGATCATGTTCTATGATCCCTTCCAAGCATTCATAGAGTTTGGTAGAACTGGGGCCAAGTCAGATGCACCTGATGTTCAAGAAACCCATTTCTTGCCATGTCCCCTCCCTTCCACAATCAAAAATGGAAAAGCAACTGGAGACTGGTGAAGGCAGCCACAGCGCGGTAACATACTTGAAGGGCGCTCTCAAGCTGGTCCCTCTGAGTCTTGATGGTTTCCTTCAGGGTTGCAATCTGTTTCTCCACTTTTAGACGGTCTGCTTGGATCCGATCTTGGAGCAACCTCTCCTCGGCTTTGGAGAGATCGAGTTCCCTTTGGAGGGATGAAACCTCACCCATCTTTTCTTGAAGCTTCTGTTCCTTTTCAGAGAGCTGATGCCCTGGAATCAGAGGGGTTGGTCTTGATTACCAGCCAGCCTTACCAAGCACCTTAGACTTGTGCTCAGTTATGCTTTCCATCTGCTGAAGGACATTCCCAACAGAATTCATGACATCTGAATGCTCCTCTCTCTGCAGAGAGCTCAGAGCATTTGAAAGTGTGCTGTGGAGGAAACATTTTTAGTGGCTAAAGCTCCGACTGAACTGTACAACTAGTTGCCCAGCAAGCTTGGTGTTTGAGTGGAGACTTGAATCTTGATCTCCCTGATTTTTAGCTGCAATACCACGCTGACTCTCTTACAATGGATATACATTTGCTCCCAGCCTTAAATTCAACTTACAGGTTTTGTGGAGTGTTTCTTCAAGGGCTGAAATGTGGGATTCCCCCTTCTGAAGCTTCCGGATCCGTTCTTCCATCTCTTGGACATTGGCAACAGCTTGCGCCAACTGGCCCTGCTGCTCTGCCAGCTCTTGTTCTAGTTGCTGTTTCTGATTCTTCAGTTTCTCTGTGCACTCTGCAAACTTTTTTTCTTCACGCTGGACATCTTCCCTGAGATGTTGAAGGACCTAGATAAAAGCAACCGATCTGGGGTTAACCTGAGGTGATTTTGCATGATCGGATTCATGCATTTTTAAAATCTGGCATATTTTCTTTTAAAATGTCTCTTGGCTGAAAAGAATATTAATCTTCTAAATTCTAAACAACTCGGCTCACAGAGTAGCTATCGTACAGAGATCCTACTGGATCGCTGATCTGAGAACAATTATGGCCTCTCCTTTGTTCATTTTGGATTTTTTCAAAAAAAAAAAGGATTCATCTGGCAGATCAGTCAAACAAAGGGAATGCATTAGATAAGTGTACCTTCTCTTGTTTGGCCTGTTTTAGCTCCTGTTCCTCAAGTTCCCTGCGAAGCTTGTGAAGCTGGTTTTCCTTTTCCCTTTGGGCTTCTTGTGCTTCCTTGCACTTCCTGGAAGATTCATGGATGGCGTCTTTTAGGGCCTTCTGTTCTTGGAGTAGTTCCCCCTTTTCCTTTGCAGTGTCTTTCACATCCTGCCATTCCAGAGTGAATAGTTGAAAGAGAAATATTAAGATGCTAGTTAATGCTGCAGCTCAACCTCTTTGGTGGGGAAATTTCAGAAGCCTACAAAATAGGCCATTGCTACAGACAAACCTGGGTCCACCTCACAGGAGAAGAATTGCAAAAATTACTTTCTTTCCCCTCTTTACTTTCCAGTGGAAAACCATGGCTCCGTTTAGCAGTTTGCAGCCCGATTCTGGCTCAGCTATTACATCTTACTATTACATTATTACTACTACGTATTACCCTGACTTTACACTGGGGAAAAATGTAGTTCCTGGCTGCGATACATTTCCCCATCCTTGTCACAGAACAGTAAATCTAAATAAAGCTCACCTGTTCCAACAGCTGAAGATGGTGCCTGGAATCATTCAGTTCAGTCTTCAAACCATTCAGTTCCTCCTTTTTTCCTAAAGAAAGTACATTTTGCAATATTTTGAGGAAAAGGCCAGTCACCAGGAAAAATAGAAAGGTATGGGAGAAGATTGGACAAAAAGAGAATAATCATAATCTGGATGACGTTACGTCCCATACAAGACACTGATCGATATGCAAAATAACGGCAATAAAGAGATTTGGAAATGTTTCCCATACCATGGAAATGCTTCTGTAACTCAGCAGTATCCTGATTCAGAGCTATTTTCTGTTTATGCAGTTGGTCAATTTCAAGCTGCAATTTTTGGATATCCAAGATCAACTTCTCAGTGCTGGCAAGAATAGCTTTATTGTTATCTTCTGTAGAGGCTAATGTTCTGCCAAAAGAGAAAGTCGCACATTCACTTTACAGAATTAAAGCAGAGAGAGGTGCAGCTTGGTGGATTGTTAATCAGTCTGTTTCATCTCAAAGAAGTTGATTGAAGTTAACATATTGTTCATGAGGGATGGTGTGGGAAGATGGATACTATATTATTGTTGTTGTTCGTTGTTGTTACTTCTAACAGTCTATTCTCCTCTACCTATCAAGATTTCTCAAATGAGTCACTTTTAGGTTGACAGTATCAGGAAAGTGACAGTGTTTTACAGAAAATCATCCTGACCCTCCCCCTATCCTTGGGCCCAAAGGAGGTATTTCAAGTTCCTAGGATGAGCTTGGGGTCCCTACAGGAACACCCTGGGATGGCACAGTGCAATCTGGTAATTATCCATCTCATATTAAAGCAAAATGAGTGGTTCCATGGTTCCTCCAATGCCTTGTACAAAGTAGAATTAAGAAACAGGCACATTAAGCTAAGAATTTATAAGTAAGATCCTATAAAAAGGACTTCTTTCACACCTTTTGGATTTTTTTTTTTTTTTTTTGGCTAAGATCAGCCATTTCAGAAAACACTTCTCTCCAAATTACCATCTTCACCTTTTGGTTTGGGTGAATTTCTCCTCTAGACTTTCACAGTTTGCTTCCAGCTGTCGCTTCTCATCATTCAGGGCCTTGATACGGTTTCGCAGAAGGTGGAGCTGAGAGGTCAGCCGCTCAACTTCCTGCTGAGCCTCCCTGAGAAGCTGCCTCTGGTGTTCAGCTTCCCCTCGGTGCCGTTGGGAGGCTTGCTGGAGATTCTCCAATTCCAGCTTCTCCTGGGAATTAAAACATCTGTATGATACAGCTGCCCAAAATTTAACTTCCCCATCCATTTGGAAAATATTCACCTAAATGCATCCTCATTGCTGCATAATAGGGCTGCAAGGACAAGCTTGTTCTTTTTTTAATTTACTTAATTTATATGCCATCCATTCCCAAAGGCTCTGGGTGGCTTATAATCAAAATCTCCATAAAATAAGAACCCCCGCCTCACCAAAATAAGGAATACACCGCCCAAATATAAACAAAAATTTGAACATCATTAAAAATTATAAACTGGAAAATATAAAGTCAGGCTTTTTGGAAACCCATAATTCTTGAGAGCTCCGCAAAGAGTATGTTTATGGATGGCTGGGGATGATCTTTAGAAGCACACTGATTTGTTTTTATAGATACAGCACATTTCACACATTTCCTGTGAAAGCCGTGTTATTCTTTTAGAGGTGAGACACTTCAGGAGCAATGTGCCATGTTTTAGATTTAGGAAAATTAGGTATTGCTTTGAGCCAATGCAGTAACTGCAAACATCAGAGCTGTTTCAAGTACTATGCATAATTAAACCTGGGTTTTGGCTTTAGTAGTCAGTCAATTCAAGTCCCTCAGTAAGAGTCCTGTAGGTTTTTTTCTTATTTTTTGTGGTATGCTTCTTGAATGACATTATGATGTCATGTACGTGTACATTATGATGTTAGTATGGGTTATCGTAGGTACAAGTGAGATAAGTGACAGGCTAGAACTGATAACTTCTAGGGTACCTGCACAATGTGACATTAGCCAGTGTACCTGCAAGCACCTGAAGGCAGAGCTCCTTAAGCGGAACCCTAACTGCAAAGTGTGGCCTCTCTTACCTCCAGAACCAACATTTCCGTTTTTTCTAATTCGTTTGTCTTTTGGCTATGCTGGAATTTCAGGCCTTCAAGCTCCTCCTTTTCCAGATGTGCTGTTTCCAGCAACTGCTTCAGTTCTAGTGATTGACAAGGGACAGAAAAAGGGCATATAAGCCAATTTACTCAGTCAAGCCAAAATGAACCATCCAGGAAATTCAGCCCATGCCGCCTCCGGTTTAAACAATTAAGGACCTCGAGTGTCAACACGTGGGGAAAAAGTCCTACTTGAAGCTCTGGAGAAGAGCAGAACTATTTCCCTCAACCCAGTCCCCTCCAGATATGTGGGTCCCGTTGCTGGGAGCGATAGGGGCTGTAGTCTATCTAGAAGTACCAGCTTAGGAAAGACTGGTGTAAAACACCTGAGGGAAGGACCAACAGATCAAGTCAACATATTTTATTCCTTCCTTCCTTCTATTTATATGCCACCATATTTTAATCGAGACTCCCAGCAGTGAAAAAAAATAGTACAGGGAGTTTACTATGACTTTTTCTGTGAATTTTCATGCCCTGCAAAATCACTTTCTGTCGGGAGCGTAGCATACCTTGTGCTACATCTGGCTGGATGTAGCATAAGTGTGTGTGATCTAATCCACTGATACTTTTTAAGACCATGATCTATATTAGCCTCCAATACCTAGCCAGCGTAGCCAAGATAAGGATCAGTGTTGGATTCCTGACCAAAAAAAAAAAAAATCTGAACTGCGTGTAATTTGCTAGAAATTGCTAAAAAAGGACTGGAATTGCTCATCCCATTTCCTGGCAGTGAACATGCAAGAAAATGTTGTGCTAAAAATTATTTCCTAGCACGAAGTGGTCTTAGTAATGCTGTTCAAAATGCAGTTTTTATTCTACCCCCATTCAAGAATATAATAAGCAGGGATACATCCAGCTGTTGAAGTTGCTTATGTTTGGGTCTCCCTTTGTTTATCACAGCTGTTTCCAACAATCAGGTCACTTATTTCTTTCCTGTTTTGTGATCGTATTGATAGGTATATACAAAGCTACAGATGTGGCAACAGTGTTTAAACCAAACCTGTCTTATGCTTTTTTATCAGCCCCAGGATATCCTGTAGCTTTTTTTCTTCTTTTCGGATATTCTGCATTATGAGAGAAAGCTGGGATCTTTTCTCACTTAGCTGGGCATTAAGTTCTCCCTTCTGAACACTCAGGTCTTCTAGAAAAGTCTTCATTTCCTAGGAAAAGAATGAACAAAGAGTTAAAAGGTTTACTGCAAATTGTGCAAACATGCAGCTCAATTCAGATCTGGTCCTGGCACAGTTTAGGTCAAGAGCAACAAGCATATCTGACTGTACCTTTCCTGTCTGAACGAGGAATGCTGAATTAAAACATTCTCAAAATATGAGCATATTAAAACAATGGAATAGTCCGAACTACAAATCCTGATAGACACTTTCTGAATAAACCCCCCAAACAATTGCAAAGCAAGCATCTAAAAAAACTGTAATGTGATTGGGAAAACCTTTATTAGTTGCTGTTTTTCAGCCACTTCAGCCTCTCCGTTTGCGAGAGCCTCTGCAAAGTCGGTGTTTTTCTCAGCAATGCTGTCTTGGAGGAGGCGTAGCTCGTTCCTTTTTTGATCGAGCAATCTGTCCAAAATATGCAACTCTTGCTGTTGAACAGCAGTCTGCAAAAATGAGAAGTAGTTCAAGATGGGAGAACCACCGAAGTCTCTACTGATCACATTTCAGGACTGCCCAAGGTCTGTCATTTATTTTCTACCTGTCCTGGGTGGCAAGATGGCTAAACACATTCTGTGGGTGCACGGGAGCTCCCTGACATGCATGACTTTCAAAAACTGAACCAGTTTATTGGCTGAGCTGCTGGGGTGGCTCTTTATAAATTTAAATAGTAGCGATAGTTGCACTAATATTACTAGAATCGGTGGATAATAAAAAACCTCTGGTCATTAACACAGCCTTTTCCAGTCCCGGTGTAGTTTTCTATATGGCTGCATCCAAGCGGTAGCTCAGAACACTCCAGAAAATGTGGATCAGGAAGGATTCTACTCACCTGATCCTTTAATCTCTCTAGATCATGCTTTTTGCTCAGAAGAATGTTCTCTGCTTCTTTAAGAATCTGAAGGTGGTTATCTTCATTTCCTTCTGCCACTTGGATATCTCTTTGCAGCTTCTGAAGGCTGGAAAAGAATTAAATTGGAACTTCTGAAGGAGGAAGAAATGTTTAAACACATGGTGGCCCAGCTGCTGTTCAGTGAAACTGCTAAGCAAACCAGCACATTTGCCAACCTGGAGTTGTCACTGGTTCAACTCAACTTGGAGGACTACCCACTCACAGTATTATAGATGCCCGTGGCATCCTAAAGGGAACTTTCAATGATGCCAATAGCACACTGGAAACTACTGAGAGAAGTAAAAAAAGAGAGGGTGGAAAAATGTGGCAGAGGTCTGATGTGCGTCAGACGCACCAGTCTAGGATACCTTTCAGTCAATATTTCTATCTTCTGGCTCAAGATCTGAAATTCAGAATCTTTTGCTGATACGATTTGGTTGATTTCTTTCAGAATTCCTTCTTGTTCCATCTTGTGCTGTTCCAAATCCTGGGCATCTGCTTGAAGCAACCTGAAAGGCAGTCATCAAAAATTGCTTGCTTGCTTGCGAAAATAGATTCTTTCAGGGCTTTTATTTTTTAAATCATGACCTAAATTTGAACCCTAGGTCACATAGTCAAATTCCAGAATCCATGTGTCTAACAGAAACACACACACAAAACCAAGTAACTTTTGAGCTTCTATTATAACTTCTTCCACAACCTCAGATGGAGCACATCTGTCTTCCAGTTTGGCTATCAGTCCCCTGGAATGCTCTACCTCTTTGTTCTAGTCCCACTAGTATTTCTACTTAGCAGATTCAGGAAAGAGGCGGTGATTAGGTCACACAGATGAGCAGAAGAGAAAAATGTTCATCCTCTCTTGTTCGCTTTCCTGAGTAGACCTTATTTTGATCTCACTGTGGACGTGGGTTTGATCAACAGTTCGGATCATGTCTTTTTATTCTCCTTTTCATATTCTTTTACCCTTCTTTGTACTTCTGCAAGCAAATAGTTGGTAACCCAAGGGATACCTTTACATTCCCACCCTTGAGTACAGCTCATGGAGAGGTTTACAGTAAAATGCCTAAACCTGCGATGAAATCAATACTGTAGTAAAATAATAATGACAGCAAGAAAGCATGGAGAAGGGCAGCCTAATTATCAGGACAATTAAATTGGTTACAGATTAAGAAAGCTAGGTGTGCATAACACACAGGCCGCCTGCCACACCATTGCCTCTCCCAGACCAACTGTTACACCCTGCAAAAGCAAACAAGGCTATCAGTTAATCCAGAAACCAAGAACTCTTTACAACCACTCTGTTCCCAGTCTCCTGAGCCACAACATAACCCTGTTTCGCTGGGCTGAAGAATGTGACCTTCAAGTCACTTGAATTCACCTGAACTGCTGATCTGCTTTCACAAGCCTTACAGCCATCTCCTGAGTCCGTCGTTCAAGTTCCTCAGCTTCTTTCTCAGTCCGAGACAAATGTTGCTTAGCGCTGTTGTATTTCTGAATAGTGTCTTTGGTCTGCTGTCTTGGAG